ACATCTATCACAGTTAATTTGAATGGTCAACTAATTCACTTTGGTGGCTTAAATCATTTGAAAATGTAACCAGTAAAGATTGAGCGATTTAAAGACACCTACATTAGTAAACACTAGAGGTTATTTACTTCCTGTTTTACTATTAGATCACTTGACACAAAAATGTGCCTTTTCATTTATATTCGACTTTTCACGAGACGACAGCTTCTTTGTCCAAGTTCCACAGTTTAAACATCTGGGAACATCAAAGGGTGCAGAATTAAACTGAATAAGCTATATAATATCTGTAAGAACAACCAAAGTTGATGTTTTATGATGATGTGATTTGGTAATAGGGAATTAAACTGTTTAAGAAATATAACCTCATACCCCATAACATAGGTCTTAAGACGATATAACCATAAACTTTGGATTTACAAAATATTTCATTCGAAATTCAATGCTTGAAGTTAATTTTTTTAGTTTCCATTGTAGCGTTCAACAGAGATAGATGTCATAGATCTTATTATTCCAGTCCTGCATAAATGAAGGTGAAATCTTGGTTCGAACTAGGTGAATATACAAAAAATGGTGATTAGTTATTTGCTGCTAGTATTATCTGACTCCATGTAATATATAGTAACCTGATTCCTGATTATTTCTTAAACTTGATCATGAAATACCAAAACCAATTGAGGACATAGCTAAATAAACCCAAACTTGTGAGGTATTCGTGAATTATGCTTCAAGTTGACAGAATGAATAACCAAAATTAAATCAGATGTGAGAAAACCTAAAAAATTTTAAAAATATACTGTATATGCTCTCTGTCATTCTTGTTACGGACAAAAAAACTGAAATGTACGATTGTTAAAAATTCAGAGATACATTCAGTAAAATATACAAAACAGCTTCTATAGACCCAGCTGTTCAGAGGTGATATTGATTTGTACTTTTATCACCCGATTTCAATCATTCACGATTTAGTTATTAGTGACTGTTGTGTGAGAATATGACCTCATAATTGATTGGTTAATTGATATATAGGAAATAATTGACCTGAATTATAGATTTCTCGTGACTATCAAATTAACACACAACACAATGTAAACCGGTGTTCACTGTTCATGTACACTCGAACCAATTTCATGTAACGTCTAACGATAATTGATATCAGAAATAATTTGTTGAACAATTCATTATAGTCAACTGTTCGTATTATGTATGTATGTATGTATTACTTAAAATGTTAACCAGCTTCTGACATCAGTTATTAATAACATAACAATGGATTGCTGTATAGGGAGCGATGTATCACTTTATCCTTAAAGTTTACCATCAAGAGATTTATTGCTGATTATAAAGATAAAAGTCCGGCAATACTAAATCAACACGAATGATTCTGATTCAAAGTCACCAATTTTTCACTTCACACAAAATCGTATCTTTCACATCTTTTCTGGAATAATTTCATAATAAATAGTAATTGGAGGAGTCAACCCATTAACCTATCACCCATTTGTTTTAATGAGATTGTTCACACTTTTATTGTGTCAGTTGATCATACCGAATTTCTTATGTGAATAATTGCTTCACGTACAAACGTTCAGTACTTCTTTTTCTCTCGGACCAAATCAAATGTGAGAATTCGTTAAAACTTTTCAGCATTAAATCTCTCATTATTAGTTATCATGACATTTCAACTGCACAGACTAAGTACAATATGGAGAAGTTCAAGAAAAATGTAGATAACTGACATTCTCTTAGGCATTTCTAAAACACTTTATTCGTCCATTGTAAGTTTTATAAGTTATTTCCGGTGTCTTATAATTTAGTACGTTCGAGAATTACCGTGATATTACTTCTCAAATTCGAATTCTGAATCAATGGTGCATCGATAATGCACATTGTCTTTAAAAAACATTTATGATGTTACTAAGACACTCGATTACGTTAAAATTAGCGATCAGCAGCAACGAATATTTAAGACACTATTTTGTCACATAGTATATAACTTGAGTATATAGTGTATAGAAATGCCTACTTTAATATTTATTTACTTTAGAAACCTAGGAATCTCAGTCCTACGAACAGTAATTGAACTTACATCTTATAAACATTTTTATTACAACCGCATGTTCACTTTTAGGATACAAATGCGAAAATTATGTAGCCATTTAAAAGTCCATTTGGATATAACAAAATTTATTTTTACTTTAAATCACACTTTTTTTAAATTCGAAGGAAACTATATAGGAACCATGAGTGACTAGTTCGAATTCCATTCAACACTGTCAAGGATTGAAACTTTGCTCTCAACATAATTACGTTGTTATAATCCAATAACAGATATTTAACAGAGACCACTCATTTTCAAATGGATCATCATGATCTCAAAGCTTCTGTTCCTCGCTTTTTAATGAGGTCTCTTTGTCAAAATCATTTTAGTTGAGTTGGTTTCGAAGCTGTAACGTATACACAGGACATGATGTTTATATTCACATTCACTACATTTAGATAGGAAGATATCATTGGTAAGCCAGATTAGCTGCTTTACTTGATAAAAGTTGAAAATCAGCATCCGAGTTCTATATGGTCAGTGATTTCAGTTGAGCAAACTACAAATGGGGAGCAGAAATTTTCAAACTAGTCAGTTTAGAAGTGAGTGAATTAAATTGATGACATACGTTCAAACAATTGTTGTTAAAACGATGTTATTGAACAGCCAGTTACAAAGAAGTTAAAATGTCAAATTAAGTTCGTTGCGTAAAATTACAGCAACAAACTCTGTGCTATAAATATAACTTTAATTATATTTAATGGTTTTAATTAACTAAGGCAAGGTTCAAGCTTCTATCTCATTATACAAAATGCATATTATACAAATATCTAAAAATTTTATAAATCGCATGATATAACAGCAATGGCTTACGAGTCACCTCGGTAAGTAAAGACTAGAAATGATAATCACGTTTCTCAAACCGAGGTAGATTGTGACGAGTATTAGAGAGTAGAGATGTGTGCATGTGATTCATCACTCCACACTATATCAGGTCAAAACAAGTGAAAATGTGAAGTAGGAGGAAAATAATTTATAGTGATCAACAGGAAATTCATTTATTGATGTGAATTAGAAAAAAAATGTCTTTACCATATAATCACAGTTAGAGTTTATATAATTGCTAAGTATTCATGAAACCGGTGAATTTTTTATACGAAGCCTAGCTACATTCGATGCATCGTTTTTCAGCTATCCTGATCCGTTACATCTTGCTTACTTACTTACGCCTGTAACTCCTCGTGGAGGAGAGTAGGCCTCTCCTCACCATCCTCCATACAACTTTATCCTGGGAAATCCTTTCCAGCTGCTATTCATCCTTTTCATGTCTGATTCTAATTCTCGGTGCAGTGTGTTCTTTGGTGTTCCTCTTTCCCAGTTTTATTCAGCATTCCAAGTTAGCTCTTGCTTCCTGGTGCAGTTTGATGATTTCCCCAATGTGTGTCCTATCCACTTCCAACGTCGTTTCCTAATTTCCTCTCCGGGTAGAAGCTAGTTTATTCTCTCCTACAGAAGGCTGTTGCTGATGATACCCGACCAATGGACATTCGGTGTCATACGTTGAAAATTGTTTATAAACACGTGTACTTTTTGATTATGTTTGTGGAGGTTCTCCAAGTTTTAGCTCCGTAAGGTTCTCTTATTCACGCAGTCAAATGCCATCTTATGTTCAAAACATTTGACGAATAGTGATGAGTCCCACTCAAGTGATCGTTCAACAATGATCCATAATGTCCCAATTTGGTCTGTGCATGACCGATCCTCACGGAATTCAGCCTATTGATCTGGAAGTTGAGAGTGTGCTGAGTCTTTCATGACCAGAGTACAGCAGCACCGCTCCTCAATTTATCCATTTCTGTCCAGCTTAGTTCCAACGGGTTTCACTGATTCTGAGCACGGACAAATTGAATCTAATAATTTCTGTAGCTATTCGACTGGTCATTGCAGTCTCACACATTGTCCGGACATTCTGTATAGCTACATTAATTGTTGTTCTGTTTGTTAGAAGAGGCATCGGCCTCATAACTTCCGAACAATTACAGCTTTTATCATGAGGTGTCATAAATTTTTTATTTAACTAGGTGAGCAGAGTTTAAGTGCTTTTAATTGTTTATTCTGGTCTGCGTTGTTTTTAGCAAGGTTTATTTCAATGGGATGGGATCGTTGTCCGTATGCTCAATCCTCCTACTTCACCCAGGTTTGGGATTGGCATTAACCCTAGAAGGGTTGTGTCTAGTTGATGAAATTTAACAAACAAACCTTTGTTGCCGAGCTTCTCCAACTCTTTCAGACCAATCTCAACATTTCCAGCTGTTAAATTATCAACCAACAACTTCTTGCCTGTTAGATAAATATCCCACTCTCCCAATGTCCCATAAAATTCTGCAAGCTTTTCAACAATGGTATATCCAATGCCTCCATTTGATCCAATTATTTAAACATAAGTAATCTCGGCTTCTCTATAAAAGTCACTAAAAGAGGATAATGTCTGGGGCAAAGACATAGAAATGCGTTTCTGTGTTTTAAAACCACAGAGCTCAGAAGGATCCAAACACGAGCGCATTTGAACCAATAATTACACTATTAAGCACTTATTTTATTTTATCTGAGTGATCATTGGCGTCAACTCATTCAATAAGGACACGACTTATCGTTAATAAATTATTGGTTAACGAATAACGAGATTATTGGTTGCATCGCGTTGTTCATGCCAGCTTTTTAGGTAATGATTCTGTATTTTCCAATCAGAAAGATGTTCTATCGCATGTACTAGAAAACTACTGATTGCAAGCATCATTATGATTGGTAGTTGAGATTCAATTAGTGTAGGCGTTTAAAGTGTTCAGATATTGCCCTGATAAATTGTCAACATATTGCTTAACAGATTTAGTTCTCATTCAGTACGTTTGCTAGTTGACGGATTCAGTACACGACGGTATTTTATCAGTATTTTGGCGCTATCATGAAACTGGCATTCGTATGATGGGTTTACTAATCTTACAAACAATTTATTACTCCTCTTTAGGTAACTGGGTCAAACAAAGGCATTGGATATAGCATTGTTGAAAAGCTTGCAGAATTTTATGGGTCATCAGGAGAGTGGGATATTTATCTAACAGGTAAGAAGTTGTTGGTTGATAATTTAACAGCTCGAAATGTTGAGCTTGGTCAGGAAGCTGTGGAGAAGCTCAGTAAAAAGGGCCTGGATGTTAAATTTCATCAACTAGATATAACTGATCGAGATAGTCGAAAAGCGTTCCTAACATTTGTAGAGAGAAACTATCCTAATGGAATCAACATTGCAGTGAATAATGCTGCGATTGCCTTTAAAGTTGTTTTGTTCTTAAAATCTCATATGTCATTATAGGCTGACACTCCAGAGTCACATGGCGAGCAAGCCCGAGTCACTGTTAACGTTAACTTCACTTCGACTGTCGATTTCACGGAAGAGTTCATTCCTTTACTGGCTGAAAATGCCAGGTGAGCTAGAAGAATTAGTTCCTACTGTTTAGAGTCGTCAATGTATCTTCTACTCTTTCTTTGTCCAATCTGATGGAACTTAGTGACGATCTGTACGAAAAATTTGTCGGCCAAATGAATCTTTTTGAACTAAAAGAACTTATGGCGGAGTTTGTAAGGTAAGTTGATTTTTTCATTGAGGTTGGTGTTGAGTACTATAACCAATTTGATTTGATTCCATAATTTTATAATTCGAATTTATTGCTGTTGTGAAATATATTTTCTACAAATTTTCCGACATTGTTAAATTTTTTGGAACGTAAGTAGTTAATTTGCGAGGTGTCTTTTCTACACAAAATGTGTTTAGTCATATCTTTGAAATTTGGAAGGCAACAATTCGTGTCGCGTTTATATACTATTTTTGTGAATTTCTTTGGTAGTATGGTTAGTTTCAGATTCGTGAAACTACAGGAGTTTAAGGTTTCATGTAACATATAGTTCTTTCCGTTTGTCGCAAATATAATTGCTTTTACTTTGAATTTATTATTAGGTCTGCTGAGGATGGTACTTATTCTGAGAAAGGTTGGGTGTCAAGTGCGTATGCGGTATCTAAAATAGGCCTTACAAAGGCTTCATTTATTTTTGGTGAAATGCTGAAAGATGATCCAAGAGGGATTGTGATAAATTCGGTTAGTTTGTTTTGTCGATATTGTGACGATTTGTGCTTCCTGTTGTAAAAATCGTTTTAATTATAGGATTAGACTTATAACAAAACTAAGAGTAGTATTTGTTGTAACAGTTGGATTATGCGGTGTGTGCACGGAGTTGTAGTTCGATTTACTTATATTTTGTACATAATGAATATACGGCGTTTTTATTGTTTCATGTTATAAAGTTAGACACATGCTCTTTGTTGCACAGCAAGTATTGAAGGTCATGTTTCCCATTAACCACTCCTTTTATACCGCGTTCACTCAGCCAGATTACGTTGTTGCACTGAATATCAGAAAGAATTAGACATAAACTGTGTTTAGGCCCTATCATAATTAACAAATTCTTGAAGGGTGGACAAAATGTTTGTCTTATGCAGGATCACACACTGTATTTGTAAAATATGAAAATACACTATTTGTCCACCTTCCTTAAGTTGTCCTATACAAAATTCATCGTTCCTTCATGACTTGGCATTTCGATTGTTTTCTGCTTTCCTTTTCTCTTCTCTCCATTTTCCTCTACTGTCGGTAAAAATTCTACTTTCAAGTTCTGATGTATGCTAAAAGTACTACACAACACACTATTCATATGCGATTGTTATTAACTTGAAATTTTCTAAGCCGTAGGATCCTTGATGTGGTATATGCTTTCGGTCCTGATGGAATGAAAGTCACTCTGTTTTCAAGAATAGTTATTTTGATTAAAATTATGGTCGGTTGATTGCGATGATTGGGAAGCACAGTTATTTTAATTCACTTCCTTTGAAATTATGCTGAAATGACCTAAGTATTATTGTGTTGTTACTTTCATAGTATCTGAAAATTATATTTGAAATAATCTCAGTGATTGAAATTTAAACAATTCCAACGTTTTGTCCAGCAAACTTGTCTGGAGTTATTTAAATTTCAGCCGCTTAGATGATCTCAAATATAATTTTCGCATACAATGTCTTCTCTATACTCGGCGCCAAATTTCTGTCAAACTATTCGTTCTAATATTGACGAATATTCGTACAAATTTATCAATATACTTCAAGTAACTCACTCTGAAAATTAAACTGAAATGTCAGGTATTCGCTCATGTAATGAATGAAATCTTCACTCGAGTGCTACACATTGTTTATTGGATAGTAATAATTATCGTTTCTCCACACTAAAACTATCTTTAATTTGTTTACAGTACTGCCCTTTTGGAAGCAAGCTTCATCAGAAATGTCCTCGGCATCTCAATATCTCTGTATTAGGTACAGCATTACTGGATGAGTGCGACTAATTTTCCACTGCTCCATGGTTTAAAAACTTACTTTAACTTAGAAATATTTAAGCTAGACTTCAACTGGAATAATCGAGGTTGTTTAGGATGCCATGAACTTGGTTTGTATTCGCTATAATAGTTGAGTCGGTGCCTAGGGAAGGTAATTGTCTGATTTGTTGAAGGCTAAGAGTAATTAATTTGGTGAATGGTATTGTTAAAGTGATGATTTGAGTGTTTATGATTGCTTGGAAGTGAATGGTTTTAATCTTAACATAACATTTGATAGTTTTGTTCAATTGGATTCTACTACTTTATCTTTGCGTTTTCATCATTTCGACAGTGTTGTCCTGGTTATGTTGACACTGATATGACTGACCATAAAGGTGTGAAGACAACGGATGAAGGTGAGTATATATCCTTGTATATATGTATTATCTGGAAAGTCAGTTGTTTTGACAGAATCATTTGACCACTATTTTGTTGAATTCGGGAACAGCTGAGCATCAGGAGAGCGTACTATTGTCTAACATTTGGGTTTCAACTGTCGAATTTGATGATTGACTGTAATGTGAAGGGAAAACGCTCACTAAAACAAGCGCAGTCGAATATAATAAGAAGAAATTATGTTCGGTCTTTAATAACATCCCATAAATGTTCCTTGATCTTTAGTCTAAATTCATAAAGAATTTATTTACTTTGTGTTGCGAAATTGTTTTCAAGATTTTTCATGAAACCCGAATATTTCCTTGAACTTTAGGTATGAAGTACGTGATCATTGTGATCGAATACCTGTAGATTTTCAAATAAACCCCCATTTGATACTGGTTTGTTTTTCGTGAAACCACATAATGGGAGTCACGATATACTAAACTCGTTTCATCTCTACATTTCATTGATAAAACCACTTGAACAGAGATTACAATTTTGTGAGCTAGGGTCAGGTATGAGATCAGATTTCACAAGGGATGTGAAAAATGTACTCAGATAGGAGTGATATGAACTTATATTAAAGCATATGTAAGTAATTACAATGTTATTTCTGATTATTCGAGGAATCGATTTTCGTCAAAAATGTGTACTATTCCTTTACCAGCCGACGTATGTCAGTAAGAACTTCATATCGAATTGGGTTCACCGCAGTCAATAGGGTGGTTAGGAAAATTACATCACTCATGAGTCTTTATAGCTGATCACTTAAGCAAAATGTTGTGCTTCTCTTGATGTCTTTAGGTGCTGATACACCGTTCTATTTGGCCACATTACCGATTGATTCAAAAGAGCCAATTAATCAATTCGTCTACGAAAGGAAGGTGGTCAAATGGTCCAAGTGATCTCCAGATAAATTTTATTCTACCCAGATATATGAACAGAATGTTATTGCTGAACTTTCTTATCAACCTACGTGATGTTACCCACTTGTTTTATTAGATTTCAGATGTGAATCATACTGTTTCTTAGTCTAATCTGTTTACGAATAGAAGCGATTTCTACCTTATTATTATTATTACCATTATTATTATTATTATTATTATTATTATTATTATTATTATTATTATTATTATTATTATTATTATTATTATTATTTTTATCGTTGTTGCTATTCTGTGATGTTCGGCTGTACCATGTGTTGTTATTCAGAGCATAGCTTCTTCGGTTTCATTTAATTTACTGGAATGTTTGTTTTGTGCATGTATTTCATTTTGGTCTATTCATATGATTCTAACGTGTTTTCAAGTAATGAATGTTGAAAATGTTTACTGTGTGCAAACTGTTTAGTGAGACAACTGGTGTTTTACTTTGAATTGAAGCTGGGAGTGGATGGTTTATGTCTGAATCTGCCTCCAATGAAATATATATGACGATGGCGAATTGTTATGAACAGGTGACTTGTAATAGTTTATTCTGAATTGAAATAGATTTCTGCACAAGTTTTATTTTATTTGATGAAATGTTCGCTCACCGTTCTTCATTATATTATGTAACTAGGTCATTTCGAGCAGCATTTATCAAACGAACTTTCGTTATTCTACAATGGAGAGTAGTATGAATGTTTCGGTTTTTGTGGAAGATTGATTTTAAGAATATTTGTTGAACGGAATGAGATTAGTTGGGTTTATATATGATTCATGATCTACATGGATGTTACGGTCGATTACATCTGGTATTACATCCTAGAGTATTGTATTTTATTTATGGTTGGCAATGTTTGACTTGATAACCTAATGTGAGCTGAGAATGCGTTCATCTGTTTAGAAACGTTTCTTAAGAAAGTCTTTTCAATTATGACAATTCGATCACCCACATATTTGTGCTAAATGCGTGTTCTAATCTCATTAGTAGATATATGCGATTTTACATGAGACATGAATAAGATATCAACAATCAGTGACACAGGGAATCCTACTGCTATACGGTTTGTTTATTTAGATGAAAACTATTTGAAAGTTAAGAAGATTGAATTTTGGGACAGTATGAGGGATTTCATGATCGAACTGGTGCTTATAGAACATCTACTAGATGGGGTATTATCATGACCAGCAAACTGTCAATAAAAACGTCATATCTTAGTTCATCTACCAAATTCATCAGATCCTTGAGAAAGCATGATATCTTAGTGAGACACATTGTGGAATTCCCAAACTACTGTAGTGGATCCCATCAAAAAGCTTATTCAAGACAAAACAATACGCAAGTTTACCAATATTATACCACAAAAGAGTTGACACTACAACCCCAGGTGTCTGTCTTTTAGTAAAGCAAAAGGCAACAAATGACAGTTACAATATAAGTGGTATATTAAACAAAAATCGACAGCACTTGTTATGAAATGAATGTTGCTTGTAAGCTGCTCTCTGTGACAACAACCACAAATGAGTTCACTTGATTAACGAAGATTCCTCTGCATGTGGTGGCAACAACATCGTCATGAGAAAGATTGAATCCAATAGTATCATTTTTAATAATGATCCGGGTCAAAAATCTAACGTGGTGTGGGGAGGCCTATAATGTTGTTGTAACACTATAATAATCTTCAATCAAAGGCCGTGGCCAATAAAGCAGAAGAACAGACGGCGGAAAGTGTGTTTATATTTCAACCAACGTGGTAGTATATCAGTATATGTATATAACCAAACAATAATATGCGTTTTTTAACATTGATGCAGAGAAACAATAGATATTGAATGTAAATGTGGTTACATATAAAGTGTGATACATCAGAGAAAAAATGTGGTTTTTATTTTGTCGTTACAAAAGTCACTGAATATACGTGTCACCATACACCTTGACATGTACTGAGTGTATTTATTGGAAGAGTATACTGAAGCCATTTCAAAATGGCTTACACAATAAGATTTATTATTCACATAATTTCAAGTCAAATGATTCGATTATGTCAATACTCAATCTAACAGTTGCTCAAAAGGTGTCAGTTTGATTATGAAATCCCTTAGGTTATGTGATTTCATTAAGGTACATATTCAGGTACCTTGATTTGTAAAAAATACCACTCTTCCTTATGCATATGGTCACATACATATAAAATTATTAAACACAGTGGGATGTAATGCAACCGTTTGCATGCCGTTTAGGTTTTCGTTGAAGCATAGACCTTGTTTTTCTAACAATAATGACTTTTGATGTATAGTAAGTTTTACTGATAATTGATTTGAAAGTGGTTCAACGCAAAGCTATTTATCTCGTCTCTGAATGGGTATGGTGATGTAAACAGGCTTTTTCAGTGACAATAATGTCGTAGGTCTCACTGTACAGTGAGTTTTCTATAGATCTATGAATATTTTAGGATGACCATTCTCCATGAATGCTTTGTTCACTGACCACATCTCGTCAACACGTATCTTTTGAAAGATTCTTTTCTGTTAGTGGATTATTCAAAGTGAAATAAATATTAATCGATAAATGTGTGTTCTTTTGACATGAATTCCTTAATTAGAAATGTACATCTAAAAAAGACTATTGATATTTTAGATGAAGACTTTACATTAACTGTTCCGATAGAGTGGGTAACAGTCAGTATCTGTGTCTAAAGTCAATAGTGACGATCAAAAGATTATGGAAGCTGACGTGTTAAAACCAAGATTCGAAACATGCACATAAACTGAGGGAAACTTTTACAAGTGTTAAGAGAATGCAATCACAATAATGAACAAAGTGAATGTTACCAGTTTATGAAAACAGTGAGGGAATATTACACGATATCAACTATGCGTTATACTGTGTGTTCAACGGTTATTAGAAATGTAACTGGCTACTGCATAGTAGCAACAAGTAGTATAAATAATACTGAATAAATAAGTGGAGTGAGAAGAGAACAGCAAAGAATGCATGAGCACAATTGAGTGGTAATGAGAACGTAGTGATCATTTACATTGATTCAGAAACACTAGAAATACATACTCTTTTCATTCAGTCAATAACAGACACTCTAGATTAGGCCGCATTGTCCCTCACGGTTGATCTTTTCAAAGAGTAGTAAAATAAATAAACTAGAATGTGTTTTCATAAATATATCTCTTCCATAGATAAAATAATATCAAGCTTATAATACGCATTTTAATGTACGAAGGAGGATTTCCTACTACGTATACACAGAACGAAAAGAAACAGCACACATATGTCTAACCGGTTGAGTGTATGTTCGCTTCGTTCAAGCCTATTCGCATTTATTTTTGACGGATCAGACCATATTATTCAGAAGTCATGGGACAAATCATTAATTGTCATCCTGCTAATCATCTTTCTACTTATTCTTGCAATTAGTTGTAACTTTCTATCCATGTACGTAAATATGTGTGCAGTAGACGCCCAACATCGAGATCAACAAGCTGGATTCCGTAAGGATCGGTCGTGCACGGACCAAATTGAGACACCACGGATCATCGTTGAACAATCAATCCTAAATATATCTCCTATATATCAATTAACTAAGCAATTATGAGGTCATATTCTCACACAACAGTCATTAATAACTAAATCGTGAGTGATTTAAATCGAGTGATAAAAGTACAAATCAATATTATCTCTGAACAAGCGAGTTATATATTTCTATCCTAACAGTTAGAATTGTTAATTCACAGTAGTACGTTCTTCATTGATTTGCATGACCTTCTCTGTTAGATCCGCATGAGAAACATTGATCGGAAGACATCAGAAAAAATAACAAAATTCTGGAAGTTTCTCAGAATCGAAGTATGAAATAAACACACTGGTGTAATGGGAAGTTTGCTGACAATTCTAAAACTTCTGTAATTATTTCGCAGTTTATTATCATTTGTGTTTTGTTTGTTTAGTTAGTAGGTAGTTTTATCACTGTATTTTTATATTCTCCCCATTGTAAGTCTCTAGTTTACCTACTATCTATAAAGAACATACTACTGCGAATTAA